TAAGAAAAATGCAAATTAAAGGTATATGTAATCCTCATATTATTAATACTTTTACTTGAGGGTTTTTTAAAAAACTTTGTTCTATCTATAAAAGGTATTCTTTGTCATTTCATTATCTTTAGGTGCATGTGTACTTTTCATATTTTTGCAAATATTCGAGTGACCCTTTTTATTGTCTTAGTTGTATTATTCATGGTTGGAAGATGCATTTATTTTTATCTTCATGCTTCGTCTTCTCTCTGTGTGTAGGTGGGTCAAATCTTTTCCTGGGATAAGAAGAAACGGGAGGAAGTGCAAAGTCTGAGATACTCTACTATCTGCTATGCTATTTTACCTTTTTTGTGGAGACTAATGCAATAGATGCTTAAAAAGAGAGCATACTCAATTGTGAAATGGGGATGCAAATACAGATGCAGGAAAAGTGTAATCGTATCACTTACATGCTTGTACCTTGCCCTCGTTTTTGTGGTGAATGAGTTTTCTTGGTTTTCCGTTGCTAAGTAATTGCATTCATGTCTCCCCACAACTCTTTATCCCAAGTCTGGCACCCTTCACTATGTCGAGGCCATTGTATGTCAATTACATGGTTGTTTCGTACTTTCATAAGTAATAACCATTCTTGTGGTACTTATTTCATTCTTATGTTTCTTTTACTTGGTTATCTGGTATGGGTGGACCGGTTCCGGTTCGGGCTTGGGCCCGGCCGGACCTCGGTTCAGAAATGGGAGGCCCGGAACCGGCCCGGGTAATCCCGGGTCCGGGCCGGGCCGGGCCGGGCCTCGGTTTTTTTTTTTTTTTGGCTTTTCCTAATTAACCCCCAACCCTCCCCCCTCACCCTCAAACCACCCCAAACCACCTCAAATGGCCCAAAATACCAAGCCCAACCCAAAAACTTAAAAAAAATTCAAAAAAAAAATTAAAAATAATTTGGCCCGAACCGGGCCCGAACCGGCCGGGCCGGTTCGCCAATCAAAGGGCCCGGGCCCGAACCACACAGTAACCGGGCTGGGCCGACCCGAACCGCCCCCGGACCGGTTCAAACAGTAATCGGGCCGGGCCGCCCGGCCCGAGTCCATCCCTATTAATATCTGGTAAATTATTTTGACCGAGTGTGTACTTATATCACCTAAGTGGTAGACTTTAGAACATCTTTTTCCATTTTTTATTTCCATATTTAATTAGTTTTGGTTGCGATCCAGTTTGGTTGTTTAGAGTTGATTCAAAAGTTTAGGGGAAGTGATGGTAAGCAACTTTGGAAGCACATAACTAATGCTAAACGGCTACAAGGTATATTGCATTAAAGATTTAATGTCTATGGTTCTATTATCATATACGAGTAAAATATGTAACCCATATAAATAAAAGAGGCTAAGTATGAGTGTCGGCCTCTTAAATAACGGTGAAAGTTCCTTTATACACGAAATTGTCTCATACATTGTCTTTTGCACTATTTTTTTTTTTATTTTTTTTTATTATAACATCACTTTTCTCCATGTTTCTAACCCGGCCCATTAGTTGTTGTGTATACAATCATATATTAACATGGTAATACTTTTCTTTGTACTCATCTAGACTATATACAAGAATTAATTTCGTATACACAATACCTCTATCACCTTTTGCTAACAAGAATTAAACCAAATGTTTACGTTAAGTAGAAAATTGTTGGGCATTTAGTTAATCGCGCAACGCGCGTTACAAAACTAGTCCCCTAATATAAGGTGTCAAATTATATTAGACCATTGTCACAAATCATTATAAAACTATCACTTGCAACTATATCATACGTAGTAAACTCAAACAAAAAATACAATCAACTCACACACTTTTAAATAATATATAGGCATATTTTGACACAATTCTTGGTTGGCATGGAATATAGTATCAGCAATTTATGATAAATATAGGTCATGTCATAAAATATTCAAAATAACTCTAACAATGTCACGTATAATAATTATTTAGAAATTTAACATTACTTCAACATTGGGCAAAAGCTATCGCGCCTTGCGCAAGCAGACGCCAGTCACAAAATAAACCTCTCAAAGTGAGTATTTTTTGTAATCGTAAATGCATTTAGCGTGAGTAATATGAAAATATTTTTTACCTGAGAAAGATTAAAAGAGTGTATATCAAATTTTTATCATCTTCTTGAAAATTTAATGTCCATCGTTACAAACGTCGCTTGAGGATCAGTAACATTCAAGTGTGGGTAAGATTGATAGGCACAATAAAACTTTTTTGGGGCTCGTAAAAAACACCTTTCGGTGTAAAAGCGTCGGGGAACGCTTTCCACTTTTATTGAGACTTAAAACAGAATACATAAAGAAAGGGGGCGAGGCCTTACCCCATAAAGTTTAAGGTAGTGTAGCGTCGGGGAACGCTTTCCACTTTTATTGAGACTTAAAACAGAATACATAAAGAAAGGGGGCGAGGCCTTACCCCATAAAGTTTAAGGTAGTGTACTAAAATTAAAATTGCTGGGTACATATGTGAACTTAAAAATATGTGAAAGCAGTTAATGCATTAAATTCGAAATTTTCCCGAGACTCCTACTTGATTAGATAAATCTTTGGTTTACTTGTTGTAGAATTTAATGGCAACTGGAGATAGGACAGATAAATCTTTTGCTCCTGGCTAGTTGGATCTGTATCTCGCTATTTTCCCAGAATACCAGTTATGTGGCGAGGCATGATAATTACTTACGCAGTTATGTTTTACAGAAGTAATCATAGTAATCTGTACCTGAAAAGCAGACGAAATCGGGTAAAAAAACTCAATATGTGACAGAAATGCGACATATGGTCAAAGCGAAGAAAATGAAGTCATAAGTCAAAAGGGTTAAAAAATCGGCACTTACGGGTTAACTATCGAAGCCAAAATGCAACTCAAACTATGTAATTGTGATTTGGGTACCAACCGGCACCACACCGCGAGCAAATCAGTGTCAGTCTCACCACCTAACCAGCGCTGGTCATGTGTAACATATTATGGGAGAAAGCCGAGAGCAAATTGATGCCAATCACATGCTCAAACCGACAACAGTCTAGCTTGATTCTGCAGAAAACATTACAACGTGTTATACATTCTTGAGATGAAATGAAGATATTTGAAGGGTACGAATGGCTCGGAAATTTCTCCCCAACTTGATCTAAAGTAATGAATAGACTACCAAAGATAATTTCCTAGCCTATTTAAACCCCCTAAATCCATCACAATGATCATTCAATCCATTGGCTTGTATATTTAGTTGGGCCTTAGCCACTCTTTCTCTATGTATACTCTCTTTGAAAGATTGTATAGCCCTAGGTAATATTCAGTACCCTACACATTCAGAGCATCTCCAATGGTAAAATATGCACGGTGCACACGTGGCATGAGAAATGACCACATAAATATTAGTAAATAAATTCTTTCTCTCCTTATTTGAATGGTTTTATACAATTTTGGTAAGTTTTTCTCCACAATGTCAAGGAGACCGTCTAGATGTTGACATTGTTGTTGACATTGCAGAGAAAAACTTACCAAAATTGTATAAAATCATTCAAATAAGGAGAGAGATAATTTATATGCTAATATTTATGTGGCTATCACTCATGCCACATGTGCACCGTGCACATTATAGCATTGGAGATGCTCTCACCATCTTTTCCACTTCTTAGCTTTAATCACTCCAACCGGTGTGCGTAGCTCAACTGGTAGCGAGAGAGTGCCACTAGAGTTAGGTCTCGGGTTCGAATCTCGGCAATTGCAATGAGATGTTACTATGCTAAAAATGCATAGGGCCTCTGCAAATACCGGGGACGGAACCTCATTCTCTATCTGTCAGATTATGATTATAGTCTAATTTACATCCTCTCATCGTGTCGTCCGAGCGGTGTTGGGGGGCCTCAGGATGGGGTGTCATCCTTTCTTTAGCTTTAATCACTCCTAATAATATAAATTGGATCATAGAATCCATCAAGAGCGCTAATGTACGAGGCGACTAAGTGGAAGTCTTCAGGATAGTGTTTTTATGTTTAAAAAATTACTAATTACGTCTGAAATTATTTTGCAAAATCAACATTTTTTGCCAACTAATATGAAATTTAAAAATTTTAACGTTGATAGTTAATTCAATTTTAATAATTTAAATTAAATATTCAAAAACTATATTAAAAATCCTAATAACGTCAATAAAATAAATATGTTTGGCCCAAAAAGTTCAATTTTGCATGCAACTCCATATGGGAGAGATGAAGTATTAATGATTGTACATATAAACGTATATGTATATAGCGTATTATACCTTTTATTTTAAAAAAATATTTTTAAAAAGAAGTAAAACTCGCACACAACTCGAACTCAATTGAATCAGACTATATACTTCGTATGTTTTGACTCGATTCGACTCGATGTTTTCGTGTCAAATAGATTCGATCTAAGTTGAAATCGAGCTCGAGTCTCTCAATTAGCACTCTATATCTCAATCATATTTCAGTATATACTACTACTTCCGTTCCAAATTGATTTGCAAATTTAACTTTTGTTGGTCAAACAATTTCATTTGATTCGCTTGATTAGAATCTCCCAATTTTTTATTTATGTTATAATTTGTTGTTTTCAACTTTGAAGAAATATTAGTGTAATTTATGAATATGTAAATTTTATATGTTAAAAATTGAATTAATTATCGATATAGATGATTGACTTTTATTACTGGTTACTCAAAAAATGTTGAATTTACAAAACAATTTGGGACGGAATATATGCCTTTAATTTAAATAATATTTTAAAAACACATGCATCATTCATATATATTCTTCAGCGATTTGAACAATAATAGTAAACGGATGATCACGAAAAACTTGATTCCGTACAAAGTGAGGCATCATCAATTGATTTCTCGTGGTGCATAATCTTTGCACCCAGTTTTGACCTTCGCATTCCGATTTAGGCTCGACGGTCGCCGTTCCCCGCTTCTGCTTATAAAACCCACCCCGCCCTTCACCATCCAATTCATTCTTTGCTTCTGCACTCTTTCCTGTGCAATCACAAAGAATCCTCACCACCAATTCAATAAATTATTAGACAATAAATCAATAAACAAGGATGGCCGCCCCTCGTCAGGTTCTTGCCTTTGCTCTCCTTCTCATCGCCATTGCTGGGTCCGCCGCCGCCGCCGCCACCTCCCCGAGCAGCGCCCCCGCATCCTCCCCGCCAACCGCCGCCGCACCCAAGAAAGCAGACACCGCGGCGCCGGCTAACAATGTAGCCACCCCATCGGAATCTCCTTCACAAACGCCGCCGCCGACGAAGGCAGTCTCGCCATCGTCAGCTGAGATCGCCCCCGAGACTCCCGCTGCTGGGTCGCCGGAGGAGGAGCCTTCATCACCACCGACCCCTGACAGCGTGGCGCCCGCAGCCGAAGCCCCGTCCGATGCTCCTGACGCAAGCACCCCAGCGGAGGCACCCGGCGCAGATGACGACAACAGCGGTGCCGCCGCTGCTTCGAAGGTCTCCGCTGTTGTAGGACTTGCTGGCATCGCCGCATTGCTCTTTTGAATTCATACATATGTATATATATATATATATAATTATATATATATATATGTGATCGATCGAAGGGATATAGTATATATATATAATTCATGTTTGACGTTCATTCGTTTGTTTTCTTCCTCATGTATGCAGTGGAAGATGGAAAGAGTGAACCAAAATTATATTTCAATCTTTAACGACGTTTAGTTTTGAATAACTTTGACCTTTCGCATACGTTCACTACTCTTTGTACATTATTTATATTCGAAATACTTTTTTCAAATTCCAAAATAGGACCATTATGTTTTTATTTCTCTGAATAGGAGTAATCTGTCAAGTTTGAAAAAAAATACATAGTACCATGTTTAAAGCCTAGTAATTCCAAACTTGGCATAAATTTACTCCTATTTAGAGAACAAAAAACATGATAGTCCTATTTCGGAATTTCAAAACGTTTTTACTCTTATTTAGAGAATTCTCTCATTAATTATATTTTATATGGGGTTTTGTCACCTATATTATTAATTATTAAATTAAAATTCTTGAAGCCCGATTGGCGACCTTGTTTTTCGACTTATCAGTCTATTAGACCTATCAATCAATTAGTTCACCAAACACATAACTTTTGATTTCGTGTGTTGAATTGCGTAATAATAAGAAAATGTAAGTTTAGAGTTACTTTTCTGTCATATTGGCTGAAATTATTGAAGACGATCATTTTCGCATTTTTCATATAACTTTTTCTTTATTTTTAATAATATATATACACACACACACACATATTGCATAGATCAGTCAATCCAGCCATTCAAGCTAGAATTTCATATAGTTCAACAGAATCAGCCTATTTAACCAATTTCTGTGTTACTAAACGGGCACTTGGACTAGGCATGTAAAAAAAAACGGTCCATAAAGACCCGCCCTGACCCGAGACATTTGGGGCGGCTTCGCCCCGCCCCGTCTTGCAATGGGGCGGGATCCGGGTATTAGTATTGACCTGTGCCGCCCCAACCCGCACCGACCCGCCTCGCTCAATATATAAGTATACATACTTTTTTGAAATTATACTACAAATATACTTCTACATATACTATGTGTGCATATAATAAATCATATATTATTTGGTCTTATAATATATTACGGAGTAATATTTATATTTGAATGAGATGAACAACAATTTTTTTTAATCGAAGGGGGCTTATATTGATGAAATAGCAATCAGATAGCCTGGGTTTGAAATAACAAAAGGACCACATGTAACTATCTGCCCTTGGACCAGACTCAGAGTTAATCACCATTGACAAAGCAATATAACTCGCTCATTCTAACTTGGGCATAATTAAGCCAATGACGATTACCACACACCTTTCATCATTCAATCCTAGTGCAAAAGTTTTACAACATAAAATAAAGTAAAAACAAAACACAACCGTCTTATTGTGGAAATTAAAATGCAAAAACACAAAAACATAGACACCAAAGCTAGCCCTCTTGAGCAGGATCTTCAAGTACACCACCGGCGGGCCTAGTAGTCCCTGACCCGCCGCCTCTCCATTTTTTGATTCATCTAGTGACATGCCCTCACCAGCTGCAACCTCTTTTGATCGGGCTTACCAAATCCTCTCGTGTTTTGCCTTCCCTGGAACCTGTTCCATGTTTATGATTAGAACTCACGTCTATTCTGTGCCCCTGGTCCCCCGAGTCTGAAGAATTCTCCACTAATCATATATTGGTCCCTGTAGGACTGGTCTTTCTCCCTCCACCAGCCCGGAGCTCAACCCCAAAAATTTTCTCCAACACAATACCATCCTCATATTTCAAGTGGCAAAATTTATCAAAATGCCCAATCAGCCAACACAAGAAGCAAAGAGGTAGTTTTTCATATTTAAACATCTACCCAATGTCCAATTCCCTCTTTTTTACACTACTTCCCTTCTTCAGAGGTTTTCTCATATCCATGTGCACCCTAATTCTCAAGTTAGATTTCCATTTTTCCTCAAACTGGTTCTTATCAAAGCTAATAAATGTGCCAATATAGTTTCCAATTCTCCTAGCAGAACCCAAATTCCTAAATTTAAAAGATACACAGAAGTACCAAGAAGTTAGTCTCACACAAAATCATCTTTTCAGGTATATCACCTGGATGAACGACTTACAAGAGTAGTAAATCTCTCTCAAACAACCAAGGATCATCCTCCAGCACATGATTCATATCCACAATATATATGATAGAAAGTTAAAAGGCACCTTTTATCTCCAATTTCTTTGATGGAAATCCATTTCCCCGGGCGCTAGATTGAAGCCAAAAGTTCTTTGAATAGCTGAAATTTGATTTTCCAGTCCGTGAGCACCACTCCGACCACCGGAAACTCCATTCTTTCGTTGGTTTCATCAATCTCACCGGCTTCCTCTTCATCAAAATTGAGTTCGTTGTCTTCCTCACCAATAGCCATCTTCTTATAATTATTGACGATATCATCCATCGAAAACAACCCCTTCAGATTCGTTCATTCCCCTTTGTCTGTATCGGCCGAGATTGAACAACAGCTGCCTAGCACTCGATGGACCTCGACGGAATTCGATTGCTGAAGCTTGCGAGACACTGAGCACCGTTCTTCGATCGAAATCGAAAACGGAAACGCCTCTAGTGGCGGCTAAACCGTAGAGAGAAGCTTGCAATATCGCACCCTTAGCGACTTTATTATCTTTCTAAAAAAATACTTAAAATGCATTTTTACTTCCAGCTTAGACAAACAAATTGATGAACGACAAATTATCAATGTATTTTTTATATATAGCATTTTAATTTATATAAATAGATTAACTCTTCAAATCTAAGTACTTTTTCTTAATTTGTGAAAAATTTAGCGTATTTTGACCTTGATTTAATACATTATTTTGTAATAGTTATTTCGGGATAAACTTTATGAGATTCAAGTAGTAACAATTTCACACAAATAGAAATACATATTAAGTAATTAGGTTACAGCGGGGCGGGGCAGACCCGCCCGCATGGGGCTGGTCACGAGTCAACAAGTTTGGACCCGTGCGAGTCACGGGGCGGGGGTCCATCCACAGTGACCTATCCAATAATGACAGTTACTCACCGCCGCCGCCGCTAGTGACAATAACCTACCCACCAACGATAGCGACACATTGTCATTAGTGACAGTGACAAGTCTCCCCAACCCCTCCCCTTCCACCACCGTAGCCCCGCCCACAAGCCCTAACTACTACCTCTGTATCACATCCCTACAATGGCCAGCCCTCCCTTCAACCCCTATCACTAGCCACAATCCCTCGTACCCACCACCACATACCCCTCTCCCCAACTGCCTTAACCCTCCCAAGCCATTCCCCCAATTCTTCCTCAACCTCTACCCCAACCATTGCCCGCTACCTAGGTACAGGGCTGACCCAGGCCAAGTGCACCCACCCCACTCACACAGGGCCCATAGTTTTTGAAGGCCCCCAAAAAAATTAATACTCCATCAGTCCTTAAAACTTAGTCATGTTTGACCAGGCCAGCACGAGGAATAATAAAGTAAACACTGTGTGGTTGAGGTTTGTACAGAGGAGAGAGAATTAATGTGAACCACATATTCTTTACTAAAAAGGGAAAGTGACAAAGTTAGTGGGACATCCAAAATATGGTATCTAATTATTGTGTAATAAATAGGTAGTAAGGGAATAAGGCCCAAAAAGGCCATAGGCCCAAATTCCTAGGTATCCTTATTAGGTAACCTGTACAGCGCCTATAAATATGTGCATTCTGTACAGAGCCTTAGGCCGATCATTCCATTCCCAGCCTTTACTCTGTAAAAGTTCTCGATAAATAGAAAGATAGAAGTTTCTCTGTTCTCGATATTGCTTTATCATTATCTGATCTTCTTTCTTCTCTGTTCACTAATGAATGCCATCTAGCTGTTAGATTTATCTACAGTCTAAAAGGGACCAAAACTGGTATCAGAGCCTGCTCGAGTGTGATCATCCGCGAAAACTTCTTCGAAGGACCTCTGTTTGACTGCTTTTCGATATTTCACACTTTTAATCGTTGTAATCTTGTTTCTGATCGATACATTGTAAAAGTTATATTGTTGGTTTCGCCTTTCATAAACGAACCAAGAGTATATCTTATTTTTAGATTTCAGTAAACTTTCAGATTTTGATTTCTCGATATCCTGATATCGAAAAGTAGTGTTCTCGACTTTGTTGAAGGTTTTTTCAAGCTAAAAACTGCACATGAAGGATCTCGAGATTAAGGACTTTACAGAAAAGTTGTTTTATCTGCTTAAAACTGGTTTTTCAATTTGCAGGATTTTGACACTGGCTTCTCGATATAAGTTGTAACACCCCTCTCATGGTTAAAGGAAACGTAATAATAACTAGCTAGAAGTCGCCAAGGTCGTTCCCGTTAACTCATCCTGGCACATCGTTTATGGTCTTCTGCCTCGTGGCCCTTTGGATTTAACTACTCTTCTGGACCATACACGTCTTCATGGCGTAGCTAACGATTTTGTCGATAACATTCATAAGATTCATGAGTAGGTTGTCATCAATCTCGAGTCATCCTCATCAAAGGTACAAAGCTGTGTCTGATTCTTGTTGTCATCGTGTTATCTTCGAAGAAGGTGATCAAATGTGGGCATTTCTCACTAAAGATCGCATGTCGGCTCATGCTTATAACAAAATCAAGGCAAAAAAATATTGCCTCTCACAGTCTTGGAGCGAATTAATGACAATGCATATCGCCTACAACTCCCATCACACATCAACACCTCAGATGTCTTCAATGTTCGTTATCTCTCGCGTTTTGTTCCACCAGACCAAGCTCCAGATTCGCGGTCGAATCCTTCTAACCCAGGGGGACCTGATGCAGCATCATGATATCTTCCTCCCCAAGCAACTGTTTTCCTATTTTCAACTTTTTATTAGTTTTCTATTTTTAGGAGAGTTAGGTTATTATAAACCTATATAAGGCATTGTAAGTTGGCTTCAATATTGAGTTTTTATGAAGGATATTACTAGAGTTTTCTCTAAACCCTTGCATTGATTCGATTCTGTCATCAATACGAGAGCCTTGCATCGAATTTGATTCAATTCTTTGATTCTAGAAGTCAGGTCTCTGAAGATTTAACCTAAATCTTTGGATTTGAGCTGAATTATCGTTAATACGCTGCGCCACGACCCCTGTTTGGGGCATTAACCCAACACACATAAATATTAGCAAATAAATTATCTCTCTCCTTATTTAGATGGTTTTATAAAGTTTTGGTATTCTTTTTCCACAATGTCAAAAAGATCGTATAGATGTTGGCATTGTGGTTGACATTTAAGAGAAAAACTTATCAAAATTGGATAAACTCATTGAAATAAGGAGAGAGAAAATTATTTGCTAATATTTATGTGGTTATCTCTCATGCCACATGTGTACCGTGCGAATTGTAGCATTGAAGATGTTCTTTCAATCGGATCTATAAGAGCTGTATGAAGATTATATTGCATGTTTCTCTATATAAAGAGGCCCTTTAGTAATACCAAAATCAGCTGAATTAGCTGATTCTATTGAAATTTATGAAGTTTTGGTTGCATTGGCTGATTCTGTTGTTTTATGAAAAAATTCATTGATAATATATTTTATTAATAAAATAAAGAAAATATTATATAAAGAAATAACTAAAATGGTTCTCTACAATAAATTCAGCCACTACAGGCAAAAAAGTAACTCCAACCTTACCTTTTCTTATTATTACACAACCCAACACGTGAAATAAAAAGTTACGTGGTTGGTGAAAAAGTTGATTGATAAGCCTGAAAAGTTGAAAAACAGGGTCACCAGACGAGCTCTAATATAAGCCTCTTTTTGCAAACTCCCTCTGTGCCCATTAACTTTGTCAATTTTTTTTGTTTGTCCCAAAAAACTTTATCACTTTCTTTTTTAAAATAATGAGTTTGTGACTTTGTTCATTTCTTTCTTCTCTACGCAAACCTCAACTGCACAAATTTTGTTGTTTAATTTTCACACCGAATGAGACGAATTCGTAAAAAAAATTAAGAGTAGGTTCTTTGTGGAGAGTTTTGATTTACCTTTTTAAGAAAGACGTATTTATTGATAATTACAAAGTTATTTAACTTTTAATGAGATGCTATAAAGCAATACACCATATTCAGAGCTCGTTTTGGTAACATGAAAATCGGCCGATTCGGCTGAAACTTATGAAGTTCTGATTGAAGTGGTTGTATTGGCTGATTCTGCTGATTTAAGAAAGAATTATTTTTAAAATATATTTTATTAATAAAATAAAGAAAAATTTACATGTAAAAATAGCTAAAATGGTCATCTACATTAACTTCTGCCAATACAGTCAGAAAAGTAACTTCAACCTTACCTTTTGTTATTATTACACAATTCAGCGTGCGAAAACAAAAGTTACGTGTTTGATGAAAAAATTGGTTGATAAGTCTGATAAGCTGAAAAACAGTGTTACCAAACGGCCTCCCAATGTAGTTTAATAAAGGCAGTGGTGGCAGACATAATAAAAATGCACCACTTCTTTCTTTGTTCATCCATATTATAGCGGCTCACCCTCCTCCGAATCCAACTCTGTGGCAGAAAGAGATTTGGGGAAAGATTGTTATTTCAATAGTATTTTTGCTTTAGGAGTAATTTTTTTTAGTTTGAGTTAGGTATGGTTTATCTGTTTGAATATTTAGTGATCTTCTGATAGATATTGTTTCATTTCTAGTCGATTTAGACTTAAAATTGATCGATTTAGACTTCAAGTTGTTTATTATGAAGTGATTGACTCTATAAAAATGTGATTATGTTGTATATAAGTCCTTTTTTCAAAAAACCAGTAAAGTTAAGAGCATGTTCTTTGTGAACAATTTTGATTTACCTTTTTAAGGAAGACGTATTTATTGAAAGTTACAAAGTGATTTAACTTTTAATGAGATGGTATAAAGGAATACACCATATTCAATGTAGGTTAATAAAGGCACTGGTGGCAGAGATGATAAAAATGCACCTTTCTCTCTTGGTACAGGAGATGGTGCCACTTCAGTACATTAATTCATAACAGTAAAACCTAGTGGTCCGGCTGAGTAGCATGATTTTTAACAATTGACCGCACAGTTGAATCACATCTTACCACGAACAGATGGATACATGAATATGTGTGTATATCCATGGGTCTTCGCCCAATCCCCTGTAATCGCAATCCCAATTCCTCCTCTCCTCCTGCAGCGCCTCTATCTATCCCCAGCCCAATACCATGATATATCCTGATCCTGATAACACCAAAATCTACACACCGCTCCAATAGCCTTCGCCCACGTGTCATGTGGGTCACCCCTGGTTGACCCCACCTACTCACTCATTCAAAAAACAAAACATTGCCTTCCCCTACCACACACTTTCCTACCAGTCCTCTGTTTAGCTGAGCAGAGAGCAGAGCAGTATGAGCAAGCAGAGTGGCATGAGCACCAAGAAACGCAGTAGATCCGCCCGCAAGGCCCGAACCCGGAAACCCAAGTTCCTCAGCCTCCGCCTCCAGCTCTCCGCCGACAGGAAGGCGGCCGAGGAGGACCCGGCGGCCGTGGTGCCCGAACACGACTCCGCCACCAACTCGTCCGACGCCAGCTGCCCGCAGCTCGATTTGTTCCCTCTCCAGCCCGACGACAGCAGCGTCGCGTACGATCTCTTCTCCGCCGCCGAGAGCGACGCCACCACGCTCACCGCGCTCCTCGGCGCCCCCTCCACTTCCGCCTCCTCCGGCGAGGACCTCAGGGACAGTTCCCTGAGGTTCCCCTACGGATGCCGGGGAGCGGCGCTCGCGCGGGCGGCGTTGAGGAGCAAGGAGAGGAACCCGTGCGAGGAGAAGTGGGTGTGCTACTCCGAGGTCACCAGCTGCGCCACCGCCGCCGCCGCCGATCCAAGAATGGATTACCGGCGGCGTCTGTCTCTGAAGCTGGATTACCAGGGGATCATCAACGCTTGGTCCGACAAGGCTCCGCTGTACATCCAATCGGAATCTCCCCAGACGGTGCCGGACTTGTTCCACGACGATTTTCTATCCAATGTAAGATCCCCTATCCTTATTACTACCACTCCGTACAATCCATCTTTGGCTCACATTTCTTCTCTTCAAGATTTGTTTTCTCTTTAATAATTTTCAAATTCCTTTCTTTTTAGTCCGGTGTAGATGAAAACTAGAAAGCCCAAATAAATGATTCTGGTTTCTCTTGCTTTTTCCATCTTAATTCCTCAGGTTTTTCAGTGCTTCTTCATTTTACTGGTTTGAATTTTTTAATTTGAAAGGAACAAATAATCGAAATTTGAAGTGGACGCCACAAGTTACATTAGTTTTTTATCATACCGAATTATGTATCAAAGTTATGCATTCTGAAGGTGAACATGGTAAAAGGTGAAAATGATGATAGTGTTGCAACAAGAAAAAGAAAGAAGTAACAAATACTGATTAATATCACTTCTTTGTTACTCGCCAAAATCTCTGTAATACTCGTTTTTGTTCTGTTTTATTTATGATGAAAGTCACGAAGTATATGTTTCCTAATTTGATTCGGAGTATATTCGGCACAATTTACATTGTACGAGTATTAGATGTGTTAAGTTTTTTTGTTACAAAATACAAATCTAACGAGCAATGTCAGTCAGTTCCGACCCAATATTCTAATAATAATAAAGACATGTACAATTTTCAATTTTCAAAGGTGGGACACGCACATTTCTTTTATGATAAATAAAAAAGACGAAATTGACAAGATTAATCTCTACTTTACCCAGTTAAACTAAAATAATCCCTACTTCAAACTTTTACGTGAATAATCCAAACTTTCCCTAAGGTCCACATAAATACTCCGTATAATAAATTAGACGGGGCTTTCTTTTAGTTTGACGCCGTTTAATCCAGTTTTATTTTTTATTTGTATTTCTCCTCATCTTCGCTTTCCCTAGGCTACCCGTTTCTCAAATGGAATAACAGAGCATAAATCCGAAGCAGACATATGATTTTCTCCAACAACAGTTTCTTCGCAGACTGAATTTTCTCAGGCGCATTCTTAAGATTTTCATCCCCTTTCACAATTAAACACTTCTCTATATATGTTGGTAAAGTATTAACATCTGCCTCTTTTTTAGGTCACCATGTTCCCATAAGAAAAATACACCTATCACTTATCACTCTGCAAAATCAAAATAAAAAATTCAACCAACAATTCGAATACACTAAAACTCATTCTAAAATTCAAAAGTAGCTAGACTATGGCACTTCATAATGACAAAAATTGTATTTGCTTTACCTTTCATTTGGGGCAACCACAAAACTCTTTCCCTTGTTTCTCCTTGAGGAAACCGTCTTCAACGGTGAAGAAACGCCATGGTCGCACTTCGCTTTTTGTTTGGATGACATACCGAGAGTATGGAGAAAATTAAAATTAGATATGCTCCAGTTAGATTCATGTAACTCTGGTTTGGACGGAGTTTCTAGTCCGTTTCACTTATTCTAGTTCTGGCGCACGGATGATGGGTTTAGATTATTCACATAAAAATTTAAAGTATGGATTATTTTTGTGTAATTGGTGAAAGTAGAGATTAATCTTATCAATTTCGCCAATAAAAAATGACGCATAGAATAGGGTGTAATACGAGTATTATCAAAGGCTTCAAAGCAAATTCCCAATTATATTCCATCTTAACTTTCAAAAAATATAAGTATATTCCATTTAAACAAAAATCAAATTGTTCAAAATAACCATGCTTGATGTACCTATTCTTATATCCACCAGATTTGTGAAGTGTTTTTTTGCACAAACATAGTGGGTACAAACATTGGAGTATCTTTTAAAAAGAGATGAGAAAATGATAAATGAAATTGTTCATTTTAAAAATAAAATAATGGGACAATTAATTCTGTAGTGGTGGGTCCAGACCCATTTTGCACTTTTGAGCTTTTTATCGGGTCTACCACATTCGTGTACTTGTCCCTTGAGCTAAAAGAACTGTACATCCCACGGGACGTTTTATCATCCCTCTCTCTACAAATGTCAGATCAAATAATTATATTTCCGTCGGCCATCGAATATGCAAACGTAGCACAATAATAAGAACATGTATTGCCAGTTTTTTTTTTTCAAAATACCCCATCATTGTGATGTGATTTTTGCAACGTTATCTTTTTACGTACCCTTAAATTAAATAAATTTAGATGCTTTTTCGATGCCTACGGTCACATTTATGATATGGGAACGGATGTCTCCTCTTATAAAACATATATATTCTGTACGAATTAATGTATTTAATCATTTGTAAATAGGATAAAGTTAAATGTTTTCTAAGTAAAATAGAATCATGTTAATGACATTTAATTTTCCAACAATTAATGGGTTTGAATCACACATTTATAAATTATTATAAATACGGAGTACAGTATAAGACCTATGGACAGAGGTTGATAGAAAAAATGGGACAGAAATAATGCAATAACGATTACATTATATTATACATGGTGCATTGGGTAAATACTTAATTGAGGATCTTATCAAACAAAAAATACTTAATTGAGGAGGTTAATGTGGTATATAGACCTACTTAATTTGTAAATGCGTTTATATACCAAAAGTTTTCATTTTTCACTTTTTACTAGGGGGTATTATTACGATTTTGAATAGATAGTATACGTATGCAGTATCCATGTACTACTAGTATATAAATAAATATATAATACCCATTCACAAAAAATTGAATGGGTATCATAAAAATGTAGATTTCAGATGTGGTGGTACCTATTGAAAGTTAAACCCAGCCTATGTGTCTATGTGTACGTGTGTCATATTTATGACAATATAAATTATTTATTTCATCAAAATAATCATGAAACAAGAATCGTATAAGGAATTTTACATGATACCCCCGATTTCAAATAATTACTCCGTAAATTTTCCAAACACAATTGACAAATTTTCACACCCTTTGCTTGGTTCCTTCCAAGTAAGCAGTTATATTTCAATGTGTAGTGTTTTGTGAAATTCAGCTGCATTTAATGCTTTCAACAAAAAGTTTCAAAACAAAAATGTTTATCAACCAAATGTATTCGTTAGAGCTTGTCATATGATCCATACATTGTGATATGCAGGGGACATGGGGTGGAGGGTGGGAGAGTAACAACATGAGCTTGTACGCAGTACCGGAAATGATGGAGGGAAAGTTGAGAAACGACCGGGAAAAGGCACGGGAAGGCGGCGGAGATGAGGTAGCGCCTGCGACAGGGCAAATTCAAAGAGCGGCGAGTGTGTTGAGATACAAGGAGAAGCGGCAGAACAGACTCTTCTCCAAAACGATTCGTTATCAAGTTCGTAAGCTCAATGCCGAAAAACGTCCTCGAATTAAGGTATATATGTTGGATTCATTCGTTCATTCATTCATTCGTTTACTTATAAAATATAGGTTAATGAAGTGTCTAAATTTTTGTTACTGATTTGCAGGGTAGGTTTGTAAAAAGAGATTGAATGGAAGAGTGTGTTGTTTGCTGATCCGGCCGGCGCCACAAGCTAAGGTGTACGTTTTGATGATGTTGGGCAGGGACCGTACCAGCCAAGTCATCTGCGGGCCGCCCATAGTGAATGAGTGCCAGAGATTAATTGAAGATGGGGTCGTGTTTAGTTTTATGTCACTCTTTTTTTTCCCTTCATTTTTGTGTATCACATTGCTAATTTATAAAGGAAATTAGGAATGTCCACTCACCAATAACAAAGAAATCAACTCCCAATAACCTTTTCAAGAGTGCGAAGAATAAATAAATTCATTAATAAAGCGCGCGGCAGAACTATTTTCAGTTCGGCACCCACACTTCGATCTGATCTTCTCACTCTAAATTCTTAATTGTGGTTGTTTAATTAATTTGGAGCAATTACATCACCCCAAATGTGAAAGTTGGCCGGAGTCCTCATATTAACAGCTGTTCCGATCAAATGGTGCTTGAGATCAATACTAATTAGCACATTCGATTCCTGTGGGACATACTATTCTTTGTGCCACTAATTGCAGTAGTGAGGTATTAGGAGTTCAAAATGTTAAAAAATGACATTTTTTGAATTCCTAATTTCACACATTGGTGTTAAAGAGGGTAGTAAAAATGGGTAAATGGATGGAGGGGATTATATCTGAAGGATGTACTCTCAGCTAAGAAAAAGGGAAAAGAAAATAAAAAAGGAAGTGGGACGGAGGTAGGGGTGGACTCGGGCTGGGCGGCCCGCCCCGGAACCGGCCCGACCCGGTCACTGTTTGAACCGGCCCGAACCGCAGGCCTGGCCAGGGACCGGTCCGGGTAGGCCGGGCCGGGCTCGGGCCCCTCAAAAGGTGAACCGGCCCGGCCGGTTCGGGCCCGATCCGGGCCAATTTATTTATTTTTTCTTTTTTTTTTTTTGAATTTTTTTAAGTTTAAGGGTTGAGCTGGGTATTTTGGGCCATTTGAGGTGGTTTGGGGGTGAGGGGGGAGGGTTGGGGGTTAATTAGGAAAAGCCAAAAAAAAAAAGAACCGAGGTCCAGCCCGGCCCGGCCTGACCCGGACCCGGGGGTTACCCGGGCCGGTTCCGGGCCTCCCCTTTTATGAACCGAGTCCCGGCCGGGCCCGAACCAGGCCCGAGTCCACCCATCACGGAGGGCTGCCGTGCGCAGAGGGAAAAGGCAGGGAAAAACGGGAAAGGGATGACATCATTTGTTCATACATTAAACCACAATTTTCTAAAAACACTTAAGTTTTTTTATTTTTTATCCAATTTTTTTCTAAAATTATATCAAAATTCATCAATTTTTATGATCTTTCACACGATATCAATAAGTAATATATAAAAATAAAAAAACTGATATTTTAATTGTAAGAGTTTTTTGACTTTAAAATAACACAAAGCACAGATTTTTAATACTCCATATAAAACTTTGCTTGAACTAAGTTCAGTTTTTGTTAACCGAAAAATGTTAAACAAAATTAATGAAATTTATCTATTTTTACATCGAAATGTGTATTTTTATTTCATAATTATTTAGAGAAAAATAAAAAGGAAAACATTACTTATAATAATTTAATTAATGTTTTATTAAATTGATATTTAAAAAAATATGCACAATGTATTTTATTAACGGTGCTGGAATGCAGGAAAATAGGAGTTAATGCTGTTTTTTAATGGATGAAATTTATTTTTAACATTTTGGACTCCACATCACTCCAAATGGTCTTAGAGGGCTCATGGCTAAGCTAAATAACTACTCCGTATGTGGTAGTCTTTTTTGCCTTGCCATCCATATACCTTTTAGTGTCAATGTTCATTTGGTAACACTTAATAGCTCGTTTGGCAACACAATAATTAGTTGAATTGACTGATTCCGTCGAAACTTATGAAGTTTTGGCTGAAGTGTCGGATTGACCTATTCCGCTTATTTGTGAAAAATAAGCAAAAATTACATTTTATTAATCAACTTAAGAAAACATTACATGAAAAATTGTTACACAAAGTAAAAAATTACGTGTTTATTAAAAAAGTGGACTGATAAGATGATAAGTTGGAAATAGAAGCTACCATCCAAACGGGCTCGCAACAACTCGATCAATTATAACCTGCTTGACATATATATTACTAAGAGAGTTTTCCTGGATAAAAGTATGTCTATTCATTGTTACGAGTAACTGGACAAGAGTCATTGTAGACTTGTAGTGTATTTCTGAGTGACAAGTCACTGAGAACTAATAACTAAATATGTCACTCTTTTGGAAAAGTTTAAAATAAGTCATATTTTTCTGTTTTAAATTTAATTTATTATATTCATGGAAAATGCATTATAACCTTCATAGAGTATATCGGCTTGGACCCCATGGCCCACATACTCATAAGGTCAACGATACTGAAGGGACATCCATGTGGCACCTCTCGGCCTAGGGGGTCCCGCAACGGCCAGAACCGGATCAGCTCAGGGCACTTCCTGAATTTGGTAAATTTGAGTGGTTAGAATTCATTCTTACTTTATTCACACTTTATCAATTCAATACCAACCATACAATTCTACTTTTTCTTAAAAACCACACCCCTTTGTTCCAAACTTAGGGGGATGGAGGTAATAATTGTTACACAAGTATGCGTATTCCATAAACCAAGAAAAGAAGATCAAAAACAATCTTCCATTACTCGGTGTCTACGAAATACAGAAATTATGTGTTCCATAAAAAAGTTAGCAAAGTCATATCAAGCTTTAAGCTAACTTTGCGTATAGAACATAGTTTAAAGTATATACAACAATACAAAAAGACTAATAATAACTCAGAAACTTGTACGAGGGTAATAGATGCATACTGATTCCAATTATAATTGGAGAAGCAAAAGAAATTCTTGAGTGCTGCTTAAAGAGTTTCATTTTACAAATCAAATTAATAATTGAAGATAAAAGAATCCACTATTCATCGAAGAATCTACTATTCATAGAAGAATCATATTGAGGCTAATCTCTGAAGTAATGGATGCAAACCAAATCAGATAAGATGTTTATAACCAAATGAAACAAAAAATGTAGTGACCGAACCTTAGATTGAGGCGGAATTGGATCAGATGAAACAGAAAATGTATTTCTCGAAACCTGGATTGAGATGGAAATTCAATCGGAAGTATTGAGCAAAGGTATTAAAAGTTGATATTTTAAGTCCATCTCTAACAGTTTACACTATTTTTATCGCCAAAAAGGGATATTTCCTTTTTATTCTTTTTACTAACTTTTTACCATTCTTATATTTAAGTATCTAATTATAATATATTTAACATTAGCCCCTCATTTAATATTTTGACATTTCACACATTATTTCACACATACAAACTAAAATACATCATTTTAATATGTATTTTCACGCATTTCACTAAAAATACAATAATCAATATTTCACAAATACAAGCTAAACCACATAAAATTAAATATTACAATAATCAACATTTCACAAATTTGTTGTTCTATAAGGATGTTTTTACTTGGACGGTAATTTGTCTCAGATCAAATCAGACTGGATTAGACTAGACTTGGGTAGTTATGAAAATACAAAAAAATCAGACTAGACCACATCAGTTAAGACCAGACCAGATCAAATCAGACCAGACCAGAGCAGACCAACAAATTTCAGTCCAAGTAAAAGTATCCTAATTTGTTGTTTTAGAAATGGGTCAAAACTATAACAATCAAAACTTTGGGTCACATTTGAAATAAAAAAATTAAAAAAAGAAGATGGTGTTGCGTATGGCGTACGCCATATATGGCGTGAAGCCAAAGCCTCTTCCCGAAAATGGTGAAATGGTGTAAGAGATGGTGTGGTGATATGCACTAGTTTGTAGTGCATAAATGTATGTTTTTATATTTATTCTGTGTGGATTGTTTACCGTTTTTAGTTAACGGTTCGGTTCCTACAAATGAGATATTAATTGTTAACGGTTCGGTTCCTAGATGTTGTTAACGATTCGGTTCCAATTGGTTCTACGGTTCCCGATTCCAAAATCCCACCCCTAACCAACGAGATAATAAATTTAGAAAAATATGATGTCATTACTTGATCTTTATGTCACTAACTGTCACCCCCCCCCCCCCCCCCCCGAATTTATTTTTTCTTTCATTGTTTTCGTTTTCAAGTCACGTTTGATCCCCCGAAATTTCATTTTCTTTTTTCTCATGTATTTTGAGGAGGTGTGCCTTCTCTAGAAAGATTTTGGTTTTGTCCCCCTCTCTTTCCTGTATTTTCTTCTGGTTTTTAATAAGATGTGGTAAACTTTCTTCGAAATTTACCCTATCGGTGGGTGGTTGATCTTTCGAGTTAAAAAAAAAGAAGATCGGGAAGAAAAAATTCGACGACATAGTGAAAATTCCAAAAAATGAAAAACCAAGGTGAAAACAAATTGTTAGCCATAGTTTCAAAAATAGTTATTGTTTGGAATGGAACTACAAGTTAATCAATGCGATCACATTTTTGTATTTCACAAAGCTATACCTAATATTTTTCTGTGTCCTTTTTCCTTTTTGTTTTGATGATCCAGATGTCAGTGCTTGCGGGCTTGCAGTCCCTTAATCCTGGAGACTATGAACTACCCCCCAAAGCCCCTAGACAGTTAAATCCGGATTTGATCACAGTTAGCCTCGTCGGTACTGGTTCCATGGGACGAATCCAGCAGAATTTCTGATCACCTCGGAATCCAAGGGGGCCACCTACCACATGAACTTGATGACTGCATTACCGTCTCCTCTCTTATTAGCCGCTGAGCAACTTCATGAAGGTAGGAAGAATAATTGGGGCAAGATCTCCCTCATCTTCCCTTGGTGCATAACGGGTTTTGAACATGAGACCTCACATATGCACCGATAACCTCAAAGCCCGCTAGGCTAGGATGATTGGTTTCCTTTCTTCCCTAAATATATCCGGAATAAAAACTGCAATACGTAACCTTGAAAATGAGTCTTATCCTTTCTGTCCTATTTCCAAACCATCAATCTCTATATAAATTAATTATGACAAAAAAAATGATGTATAAGACAACAAAAGAAGATAATTTTGATTCTAATAACTAGCGAGTACTCGAGTAGCCACTACCGATTGTTGAGTTAGGATGTTTTTTGGATTGTTTTCGGTCCTAGACCAGACCAGACCAGACCAGACCATACCATATCAGACCAGATCAGACCAGCAAATTTCAGTTCAAAAGAAAACATCCTTATTTGTTATGCACTTATGCCTTACTTTTTCTTTTTTGAAAGAAATCGCATTATAACAAGTTATTTCAAAATAATACATATTACGTAGTACTTAAGAGTGTTGATAAATCTTATAAAAAATCATATAAATTTTAAAAATTATATAATAATAATATAAAAAATAGCATAAAAATAAAACAGATAAATAATTTTAAAAAACATAAAACTCAAAAAATAAATGAAACTCTAAAAAATATAAAATATAAAATATAAAATGTAAAAACCTTTTTAAATTGATGTGGAATATACAAATAATTTCAAAATTTTAAAAATACTGACTTTGAAATTCTGAAAAATTCCACAATTTTTGATTTTTTCAATATAAAAAACTCTGCTATTACAGGTCTAGACTGAATCAATGACTAAATTGAACAACTTTTTAGAATAAGTGTACTGTTGGAATATTAGGCCCCGATCAAAGAGGTAGGCCCAAATATCCCTGATGGAGTGTATAGCCCAGGACCCCCGACCCACATACTCCCGCTACAGCAAAACAAACCCAACAAGCACATGCAACCCACATACAACAACCCAAGTATAAGACAACCATCACCCATAAGGAGCCCCTTCGGCCCCATCGGCCTGAATCCAGTCATCGACATGTCGGGAACTTTCATCTTCTCGACCAAGCCCTCGGACAGCAGCCCTCGGTGCTAAGGCCGAATGCCTCAGAATGCTCACAGACAACCCTCTTTGTCCAACGCTCCTCAGCGCCCAATCACCGCATTTAATGTTGCGTCACGTGCCAGCATCCACATCACAGGGGGGCTCCCCGCCATAGATTAACTTACATGTCTATGTGCATTTAATGCACCTATCATTTATGACTAGTATAAATAGCGTCTCTTGAACAGTTGTACAAACCACTGTTCATTTGATACTATTGCTCCCCCCCTCTTACTTATTGTTTTACCTTCCCTCTAGATACCACTAGAGTATCCATATATAGACTATCTATCACCTATTATATACATATCTATCTAAAAGAAGCCATCATTAAAATACTCAAGACAAAATTATCGTTTTGAATCATAATTATCCCATATTCATGCTACTTTGACTTCTAATAATTGTTGATATTTCGATAAACTCTTATCATTGTAGATGTAATCTATAAGTCCTACATAAGAGAGGTTAGGGTTTGTGCTTTGAGCAGTTTTGGAGGAGTTGACGATATATAATTTTTTTTAAATAAATAAAATCAACAATAAAATATTGACCAATCAATATTGCTTCTAAAAGACGAACATTTTTAAATAATTATGAACAAATAAGACCGGTCATAAGTTTATCTTGAGTATTGAAAGGATGACTTGTTTTAGATAAATATAAATATGATAGATTAATTTGGTCAATAAATCCAAACACTGATTTGTTTTGTGTTACGAGTCTAAGCCATTTTATTTTATTTTTAAAGGATTCTGGGCCTCTGCCTTGCTTTGAGATGGAAAATTCTTAAGGCACACCTTGGGTTACACCCTGGGGCACACCCCATTTATTTGCCCTTCACACAGACAAAAAACGTAAAAACACAGACACTTTCGATTAAACTGTCGGTGTGAGTTTGCAGATCTGTCAGGCTGGTTGCACGCAAACCAATGTCGGTGTGCACAGAAACTAGTTGTCTGTGTAGACAAAAAAGCGTCGGTGCGAACAAAGTTGGTTTGCAAGTTCAGGGAGTGGGAAACTAGTGTTGGTGTACACAGACATTAGTTATTTGTGTAGAAAAAAGTGTCTGTACATATACAATTTTCGTCGGTTTTCTTTCCTTCTCTCTTTTTACGTTTTATGCACATCGACACTGATTTGCTTTCAGTGTCTGTGTACACCGATGAAAATTGTATATGCACAGACACTTTTGTTTCTACACAGACAACTAGTGTCTGTGTACACCGACAAAAATTGCATATGTACAGAAACTTTTTTCTACACCGACAACTAATGTCTGTGTACACCGACACTGATTTCCCAACCCCTGAACTTGCAAACCAATTTTGTTCGCACCGACACTTTTTTGTCTACACAGACAACTAGTGTCTGTGCACACCGACATTGGTTTGCGTGCAACTAGCCTGACAGATCTGCAAACTCACACCGACAGTTTAATTGAAAGTGTCTGTGTTTTCATGTTTTTTGTCTGTGTGGTGTGTACCCCAGGGTATAACCCAGAGTGTACACCAACAAGGATTCCTTTGAGATAGGGTGCTCTGCTCTTCCGCACCATTTGATCCGAAATTCGACGTCAAAGATTCCAGCTTCCCCTATCTCCAAATCGTTCTCGTCCCCTCCCTATTGTCAGAGGATCCGAATCCATTTTTAACAACTCAAATGTTGTTTTGGTTCCTCTCTAGTTATACACAAGCAGCTAACAAATCAATATCAGCACGTTCTACCCTCCTACAAAAGTAGGGAAACTTTCTACTGCTCAAGTGGTAGGTTCCTCTCTAGTTATACACAAGCAAGCAGCTAACAAATCAATATCAGCACGTTCTACCCTCCTACAAAAGTAGGGAAACTTTCTACTGCTCAAGTGGTATTGATCCATCTTTCTTAATTTCCCTCTAATTCAACATACTATCACAACTGATGAAGCTTTAAAATATCAGTTTGGGTTGAATTCATGTGGGCATAATGCTAGCTCTTGGTGTTTGGCCTCTGAAAATTGATTCTTCGAAGGTATATCATTCGGATTTGGAACAGGGTTTATCCCCAAATTCAATTTCCAGAAGGGGGTTTCTCGAAAGACTAGACCTTGCTCCCACTAGTGTATTGTTTGTATCAAGAATTTCTGAGTCTCGGTTCAATTTTCTTAGATTTTACGGCCCACAAAAACATTGTATTGGCTCATTTTCAGCATTACCCTTACTGTCCGAGGAACAAGCAACCATCTGTACCACTTCTGAACAAGATCAACGGTCACGGAGCCGGGTTACCAAGTCAACTCAGGCTGAGGCAGGAATTATTAAGGGTAAGAGAACAAGAGTGAGGATTGATGTTAAAGAACTTGCACAGAGATTGCACACAGCCAAGAATGCAGACGATGTTGAAGATATTCTAAAGAACAATGATGAACTTCCCCTCCAAGTGTACTCAACTTTAATTAAGGGTCTTAGTAGAAACAATAGGCTAGATTCTGCAGTCTCACTTGTTGAGTGGTTAAGAAGAAGAAGAAGAAAGAAAGACACTTCTTCTACTGTTCTTCCGAATCTTTTCATCTACAACAGTCTCTTAGGAGCAGCAAAAGAGGCTGAAAAGTATGACGTGGTTGACAAAGTAATAGAGGACATGTCCTCAGCTGCAATTAATCCCAATATTGTGACATATAACATTCTAATGAGTTCATATATACAGAAAGGTCAAGAACTCGAAGCTCTCAATCTTTTCTATGAGATACCGAACAAGGGTTTATCTCCAAGCCCTGTTTCCTATTCCACGGCATTATTTGCTCACCGAAGACTCCAAGACGCGTTTGGGGCCGTGAAATTGTTCACAGAACTGAGAGACAAGTATCATGGCAAGGATGAGTTTCCCAAGCTTGAGAATTTCACCACCCGAATATGTTACCAGGTGATGAGACAGTGGATGTCAAAGAGGGAAAAATCAAGCACAGATATATTGAGACTAATGATAGAAATGGATAAGGTGGGGCTTCAGCTTGGGTGTGTAGAATCTGAGCGCCTCATCTGGGCATGTACGCGTGAAGAACATTACTCAATTGTTAAAGAGCTCTACCAAAGGATAAGAGAGAGAGACTCCGGAAATATTAGCTTAACTGTTTGCAACCACGTGATCTGGCTAATGGGGAAAACCAAAAAATGGTGGGCAGCTCTTGAAGTATATGAAGACTTACTGCTTAAAGGGCCAAAACCAAACCAGTCCTCTGATGAGCTTATAGTGTCACATTTTGATGTTCTTCTCAGTGCAGCCAGGAAAAGAGGAATATGGAAATGGAGCATTAGGTTACTCAATAAGATGGAAGAGAAAGGGATCAAACCGCGAAGTAAGGAATGGAATAATGTCCTTGTGTCATGTTCAAAGGCTTCGGAAACATCAGCTGCCATAGAAATATTCAAGAGAATGGTGGGAAACGGTGAAACCCCGACTATCGTATCCTACGGGGCCTTACTAAGTGCCCTAGAGAAAGGGAGGCTTTATGATGAGGCGGATCGGGTATGGAAACACATGGCAACAGTAGGTGTAAAAGCAAATTTGTACACCTACACAACCATGGCTGCGATCTACAGCGCCCAGAGTAAATCCAATGCGGTAAACTCCATCATCCGGGAAATGGTGACACTCGGGATTGATCCAACAGTAGTCACGTTCAATGCTGTTATCAGTGCTTGTATACGGAATGGTATGGGGAGTGCAGGGTATGAATGGTTTCAAGAAATGAAAGCTGCAAACATAAGCCCTAATGAGGTGACCTATGAAATGCTGGTTGTGGGGCTTGCTAGTGATGGTAAGCCGAGGATGGCCTTTGAGCTGTATGTTAGGGCTCTCCGCGAGGGTATGGTTCTTTCAGCGAAGGCTTATGATGCTGTCATCCGTTCTTCATTGCTACATGGACTTACTATTGATGTTACCACTCTTGGGCTCCGGCCAGTGGAAAAACATAGAAATGTGCAAAGTAGAAACTCTTTGATGGAGAAGATAAAATGAGGATGAAGATGTTTAGGGGGAAGGGAATGGGAGGCTGCAATGGAAAATGGGAGAGAAAGAGGAGAAAAGGTTGGATTGCCATGAGAAAGGGAGAGGAGATGAGCTATTTATACCGGGATACACAAGGTGCAAGCCCTTGTGCACACATATCTTTTTTCTTTTGTCAACCTGATGGTTAGTACACTAAATTTTGATGTGCTATGTCCTAATGAATTCTTATTTAGACGTTAATAAATACTACCTCCGTCCCATTGGAAGGTTTCCATAGCAAAACGGCACAGTTATTTAGACAATAATTAAATAAAGTACTTCGAGTATATTTTGAGAAATAATTTTAATGGGTATATACTAAGTATTATAATGTAGTTAGTATTGATAACTATGATGTTATGATTGTATTATTTTTAATATTTAATGATTAATTTGTCACTTAAGGTTTTTAATTGTTTCCTAAAATGAATATGAGAACCTTTATATGAGACGTCCAAAAAAGGAAAGTGGGAACCTTCTAATGGGACGGAGGGAGTAGTATTCTACTAACATATCTTTAGAAAGTGCATGTGTACGCGAATCTATTACTCATCCAACTATCCAAGCATCAATAAGTGAGTTGAAACACTACAAGAACAAGACATACGCTTTGAATTATGCATAAAACTATTGTAGTAGTATTATATATTCGAGCATACTCCAATTATGCATAAAAATATTATTTGGAAAATTAAATTTTATCGTGAGTGTTTATTACATTTAAGCAAAAATTAATTGATCATTCTTACTCAAAATAGTCCGAAAATGGATTCATTTAGCAAATTGTTTTTGGTGTTAGTGATAACAATCTAAAACAATGTTAATATAATTGTTGAAACATTTGAGAAATGGTCGAGGGAATCCAAGACTCTCTTTCATTTCCTACTGCATATTGCAGCAGGAAATCTTACTGTTTCTTATCGCAGAAGGAAATCTTACTGTTAAAAAATGTTAAATGGTTACTGTTTTTTATGTGAGCCCATATTGCAGAAGTGGAAGAAAGAATGTGGTTAGCTTATATTTTCAAAAAGTTGTCTCTGTTTTCTACCACATAAACATGGTCTACATTTTTTGTTTTGATTTAGTTAATAATGGTATTTATAATATCAGTTATTTTGTGTAAAACAGTACATTTACAACAAAAGATACCTGGATAGGCTGCCTAGGCAGTAGATTACATTCTACTAACCTTACTAATGCCAAACAGATCCTCCAATTCGTTGAATACTTTTTCTACCTACTTTTACTCGAATACTTTCCATTTTATTGCCTCTGAATTGTGGTCACATTGTTCATTTCCACACTCCAAACATTATATTTTTTCTAATTAACCCTTTCTGTGTCTTGGTTTTGAAAATAAGTTGACACAGATTGTCCCTAAAAAATGAACTATATTTTTGTTTCGAGACTACAATTTTGGATTCCAATTACCAACCACTTTTAACTTGAAGCCAATAAAATATTACTTTCCTTTAATGTATTCTAAGATTTTACTTAGTCCAAGCGAGTCTTGTCCAAGTTGATAAGTTATATTTTATGTAAATAATGTATGCAGAGCTCTAAATACTTTTAGTATACAGTTTTCATCATTTGTATTGCCTTGTTTTTCTCTTTTTCTTGAATTTTCGCTCAGTGTGGACATATATAACAAAAAATTTCAACCGATTTATTTATTTCACTTACTTTTTCAGTTGCTCGTTGTATACATGCTCTGTGTTCTCTAATGTCCTCTAAAATTGAAAATTCAGATTTAATACTTTGTAATTATTTACTCTTTTTTAGTTATAGATAGGCGAGATTCCTCTTTACAATTATACACAGTAATATTTATTTAGTAATCAACAACCACCACCCCCTTCGATGCTAACAGATAAGGTTTTAACAAGTCGTATTGCGCTTTCGCTCTTCTCTTCATCGGTCATGGTCACAGATTTCCACTCTCAAGTAATGGTCTGCATATACTAACCCAAAAATGTTAAAAAATACAGATGTAGAGGTTGACATTGGGTATGTCGTATTACTGTTGTAGCATAAATGGAAATGCACATCGGTATTCAGTACCCTGCTAATTCCATTTCCAGGGTTAAACAGTAAAGCTGCCTTAAATTAAAGGTATTTCTGTGCATTTAGGGTACCAGATTCACCATTTCAGGCTTCATTTTGTTTGTGTAGTGTCCTTACAAATACAAGTTGACTATAATATAGTGACATATATACCATTCGATATGTTGTACCTATATGATGTTAGTAGAATTTTTAAGAACTGTTTATAAAGTTTTATATAGGGATAGAGAAGAACAAGTTTATTAATAAAATGGTGGTACCGATCCAGCTTTGGTCTTCTTTGCATGAAATAAGGAGTCATATAATTTCTACAGTCTTTTAGATTCCTCTTCGAACCTAGCTCTAGATTTTCTACAATCCTTGACGTTAATTTAGAGTAGTTGTTTTCCTAGAAGAAAATGTAAGATCATATTTCCGGTTTTCAATTTTTCCCTTAAGTAATACTCCGTAGAAAACTAGAAAGCAAAAAGTGATAATGAGCCCATAGTTTCTCATTTTCTTCAGTTTCCTGTCATGTTTTTTCTAAACCATTACCATTTTAGTGTCACATGTCACCCTGACAGATGAAAAGAAAGCACTTCCTATTTCTTTTCTGCAGGTTAGCTTGAGGGGACCTCGTCATCTTGGTCCTGATGATGAACTAATGGAGATAATGGGGTCTCCTGTGAGTATCTTATTGTATTTTTATTATCTATTTACCCTATATATTTATTTTCACTTAGTAGAAAATCACTTTATTGGATTTGGGCTCAAGGTTGCGTTTAATAATATGTTGCTAACCTAATATAATGGTCTAACAGGTTAAAACTAAAAATACTTGTCTTTTTTACTTTGCTTTTTATATCAGATAAAATCATACTAAAATATTTTTAATATTGCCTAACTGATTCATACATGTAGCTCACTCAGATCTCTATTTACCAATATATCTGTTTGGATATTTTTACCCAGTGAACTCCAAACAAGAAAACTTAGGAAAATATGTACTTCGTATTAAAGAAGAGAAGAAGGGTGGGTTGAGTGGAATAGAATAGAACGAGAAGGAAAATTGTACGAAGATATACTCATGTACTGAGGTTAAGGAAGAGATACACATCATTGGGCAGAGTAGGATACTGAAAAAGCTTTTGACATATTCCCGTTTTATTATATCATTGTACAATTAGCCTAATGATGCAAAAGAAGGGGTTTCAACTATTATCTAACAGGATTAGCATGGTACCGCTGAACACACTTTATATAAGGCATTTGTCCCTCTCCTTTGTAATCTTACATGCTTTTTTGTAATCTCTAATAATCTGTGTTGTTGATGTTGAACATTTATAAAGTCGCGGTTGGTGGAGTTGGGCAGCTACACTATATTTGGACGTATTGTGATTGGTTCTAGGCTTCTAGCATTGCTCCAACTGTGGTTCAGTTTATCTACTGCAAAGCATTGCATGGGTAACTTCCATTTAAGATGGCAGTGGAGTTCGCAGGTGACTGTGTGAGTTTGGCGTTCAATGAGGAGAAGCTTACGTATGTCGTTTATGTCGTCTGTGGCCAGCTTGTATTTCTAGAACTATAGAAGCTTGGCTTTAAAAGATATGGAAGTGTTTGTCTACGTATTATATGGTATGTCATGTGAAAAGGTACTTGTTAAATATTACTCGTAAATCACTTCTATTTTTGGCATTTGTGCAAAACTGTTACTAAAACCGATAATTGTGTTGTGCCTATATGAAGTGTACTTCAATTCTACAAATAAATTCATAAACCTTGTAAAAAGAAAGACACTTGCTTAGACTTATTACTCAAACTTATTAGCTTTGTTAACCCTAGATAGAAAAAACTTGAATCAATAGAACTAACAATGTCACAAAAGAAGCTAGGGTGGGGTGTGCTTGGTTACACATTCTTGAATAAAAAAAGTTAAGCTACCCTGGATCAAAGAGGATCCAACATAGTAACTTGGTTCATTTTAGTGTACATACTCTTATATATGACAGCAATCTTACAAACAAACTTTATAGACCGAGTATTCTCCTTTTTTCATTCAAATTAACTATGTCGTTGTGTACACCCTATCTATATATCAAGTATCAACAAGACTTAATTCCTCTTGCGTTGTGGGAGCCGTAATGAGCTTGAGTATATGCTTTTTATTAAATTAGTTTTTAGAAGCAGTAACATTGGTTCTCCAAGGTATGATTTATATTTGTTTCATCCTTTTTAAAGAAAAAAAAATTGTATCCCATTTTGCAGCCTTGCAGAGTTGCAGCCTGCAGGTGAGGTCTTTCTATTTGAGAAATGCATGCGTTCAGACATCTTTCTGTTTTTGTGAAAAATGTTTCAGTTATGCAATTGTGAATTTAGATTTGTAATACCGAGTACTAGTAGCCCAATTTCAGAAGTTGGAAATGAAATGTACCCACCTTTAGGCTTTAGTGCACCTTATAACTGTTCTTATGCCTGGTGTTATTCAATAACCCTAAACTTGTATGGATGTGTCTTTCTTTGATTTGTATAGAGTAACATCACTACATCCCATACAAAAAAGAAGAAAAAACAAAAACATATACTACATATTAGTTTTCGATCAAGTTCTTTCCATGACATCCAAGATTAGTTTGTGTTGATATATGCAACTATGCGAGCTTAGTCACAAAGGCCGGTCCTATATTTTTCAAGCATTAGAGGAAATGTGCTAATATTGAGTGGAAAAAAGCACCGATCTAAGAAAGCGGAGCGACTCCTTCCTATCTCCCTAGCGGTTCTGCCGTGTAGGGTTTTTTCTCCCTAGCAGCTCTGCCGCGTAGGGTTTTTCTTCCCTAGCAGCTCTGCCGTCGCGTATGGTTTTCTTTCCACCAATTGTTTTCAATCTTGAAGGAGGAGTGAGTGCATCATCAGCTTTTGGAAACGAATCCAAGATCCAATAAAGGATAATTATGACTCATGTGGATGATCTAGAGTAGCGTTGGTTCAGGCCTGCAATCGAGGAGGAAGTTAGAGTGTTAGTTTTTGGCAAATCAGTATGGGTAGAGGGCGGTGTTGGTAGTGGAAGCGGCTCGGGCGACGAGAAGATGTGGAGAGGTGAAGGGCTGAACAAGGGAGAAGATAGATCGGCGGTCCGACCCCCTCCTGAACCGCCGCCTTGGAGCGATCAAGTTGTTAGAGTTTGGAAGTTTTATTAGTTATTTAATTTTTCATGATTTTATTTTTGTGTTATGTTTTACGTTGCTCTGTCTTTTGTTGATGTCTTTAGTTTTAGGACTACAATAATGATTGACAATTCTGCTAGATATTATTTTCATGGAAGGATCTTTATGGCCAGTGATTGTGCTGTGTCACACCCGTTCGCCCGTTCGGTGGTTAGCAATTTGTATTGCTCTTTCAGGGGTGACCGTCTCTGAGTCTAGTCGTAGGGTTGATAGTGCTAGTTGGTTAGGGATAATTGTTGTCAGTGTTAGTCTTGTTGAATTCGTTGTAACGATCCAAATCCTTATGATATTAATATAAAGCGGTTTGTTTTGATGATAAAAAGGGTTAGAGGATATTTTTCATAGGTTTATTCTAAAACTATTAATTACTTATCTAAATAAATTAGCAGAATTTTAACAAAAAATAAAAATCAAATAGTAGAATATATAGTCATAATAAAAAAAGAATACTTTCTAGTGAGATTATCAGTTGCCTATTTAAATAATTAAGTAGAGTAATAGATTATACAATAAAGGGAAAAATAATAAAAATACCCCAAACTTTGAAGGGGTGTGAGGTAAACACCCCAAATTTGCATATTTAATTTAAATACTCCAAACTTTATATAAAAAGTCATTTTTGCACCATCATCGTGTATTATTTCTTTCAAAAATGTAAATTTTTGGGATTAATTGCACAATTTTAAATAAAAAATTAAAAGTATTGTAAATATAAAGATTGGGGTAACATTATTTATTTTGCAATGAAATATTAGAATGTTGATTGTGTATTCATGAATTCTAAAATATTTTAAATCATACATTTAACAACATAAATTTACATTTTTGAAAATAATAATAATCGACTATCGTGCTAAAATAACTTTTTATACAAAGTTTGAGGTATTTAAATTACATATGCAAGTTTGGGGTGTTCATCTCACACCCCTTCAAACTTTAGGATATTTTAATTATTTTTCTCTATAATAAAAGTAAAAAAAATTGAAACACACCTCCGGTAGCACATTGTAAATAAAATAATCATTATATCAAACACCTTCACAACAATTAAAATTTGAAGCTGCTGAAATGAATATAAATAGCATAAGAACAACATTGTGATTTGTGACAAATCAATAAAGACACACAACCACACATAAAAAAATCGATAAATCTATGCACAATAACACAATAAATCTTAATTGGTATGAAAAAGTTACTCCCTCTATTCTATTTTATAAGATGAAATTCCCTTTTTAGGTTGTTCAAAATATATGGAGCCGAGGGGCTGATCGTGCTGCATAATATGACGGTCGTCGTCCTGGAACGGAACAGGCGAGCTCGGCTGTGAACTAGACACGACGGCGTTGAGGGGCCAATCGTGTTGCATAATATTACAGTCGCCATCCTAGAAGGGAATAGGTGAGCCCGACCGTGAGCTAGACACAACGGCGCTGAGCGGCCGATCGTGCTGCATAATATAGCGGTCGCCGTCGTGAAAAGAATATAGGCGATACGTGAATTAGACACGATGGCACTGAGGGGCGGATCTTGCTGCATAATATGGCGGTCGTTGTACTAAAAAGGAATTAGGCGAGCCAAACGTGCTGTATAAGGCGGCGGTCGCCATCCTGGAAAGAAATGGGCGAGCCCGGTCGTGACCATCTTTCCATCACCTTCGAAACCTCTATCGAGATGAAAATCAATTCCTTGCATCCAAATCGGTGTAGACTGATCGAGACATGGAAGATTTTTTTCTGACCTCCAGACTTTCTTACTAATTGTGTTTGCGCAGCCCAAAGGGCTTGGGCTACTCACCCATGGTAATTTCGTCGAGGTGGGATCCATTCCCGATCTCCAGACCGGTTTATGCCGGTCGAGATAGAGAAGAATTTTCCCCGACCTCCAGACTTCCTTACCACTCGTGTTCGCGCGACCCAAAGGGCTCAAGCTACTCACCCATGGTAATTCCTTCAAGGCAGGATCCATTCCCGATCTTTAGACCAGTTTATGTCAGTCGAGAAAAGGAAGAGTTTTCCGACCTTCAGACTTCCTTACCATTCGTGTTCGCGCGGACCAAAAGGCTCGGGCTACTCTACTCACCCATGGTAATTTCGTCGAGGCAGGATCCATTCCCAATCTGCATACCGGTTTATGCTGGTCGAGACAGGGAAGAGTTTTTCCCGACCTCCACACATCCTTACCATTCGTGTTCGCGTGGCCCAAAGGGCTCAGACTACTTACCCATGGTAATTCCGTCGAGGCAGGATCCATTCCCAATCTCGAGTCCGGTTTATGCCGGTCGAGGTGGGGAAGAGTTTTTTCCGACCTCCACACTTCCTTACCATTCGTGCTCGCGCGGCTTAAAGGGCCCTGTTGAGGTATATTACCCCGGTCCGTTACTGTTCAGGAGCCCAAGGCATCGCCCCAGCTTGGAGCCCGAATGACAAGGTCCATTTCAGCCTATTAGGCATATTTCGGCCCTTTGGGCCCATTTTGGGCTTACTTGGCCCATTAGGTTAGGTTTCCCCCTTTCCCTTACCCCTATAAATATGGGGCTTTCCCACATGTTTAGGGATCTTCTTCTTCTTCCTCCTTCTCACTAGAATAGCTAGCTAGCTTACAATACTCCATTAATGGGAGCTACAACATATGTACTTTGTAATGGTGAGGAGAGATTAATGAGAATGAGAGGGCTTGGACATTAGCCTAAAAAGTCTCGTGGTTTTCTCCCTTTCCGGGTTTCCACGTAAAAATAGCCTGTTCATACACATTTATACATATATTTACTATATCGTGTTGGATTAAACTCAACACTGGCGCCGTCTGTGGGAATCAGTTCAAAAAGATTACATGTGTTCTTCATTTTTGGGCAAAGATTCATACGAAAGAAACTGATACTCAGCAAAGAAAAAAAAAATGGAATATGGGTCTGGAAGAGCTCCGACCAAGAGCCGGCAGATGCAAACCCTTTTCCCAGAATACTTTTCCTTGGAAATTAAAGTGAAGCTAGCCCTTAGGAAAAATACGCCCTTCGGCCCGGACGTACGTGCTCCGCATTCCCGAAACCGAACAGGGCAAATAAATACCTGCAAGGCTGCAAGGATGTGAACTTGATAATGAGACTAAGCTACGTCAAACTTACCGCTCAGCTTGTAACGTCAGCTAAGAGATCACAAACCTGATAAGCATGGCTGCTCGTCCCCAAGAATCCTGCTCAGGCTCACTACAACGTTGTTGAGCAGTCATACAGACATCGATCAGGGCAGCAGGACTGCAAACGGAGCCTCGAATGATAAGTCGAGAAATCAGGGTTGCCTGCAACCAGAGTATTTTGGGGAACACGGACCGCTGCTCGACCTCCCTTCCCCGGCAGATCTCGGTGCCCAACAGCAATTACGTACCACCCAGTCCACCCTAATTAGTCCGCCCTTTCAGTTTGAGAGTTTAGAAGCAACATTTATGACGACGTTCGGCCTCAAACCGGCTCAGTTCGTCCACCACCACAATTTAGCTACCCATCCAGGGGGCAGACACCCAGTACGTTCGGCGTTTGCTAAAACGCCGCTCGGC